TCCCCTTCTATGTGTTATTCAATACAGCCTATGATTTCATCAACTTGCCCTAAACACTGTGATCTTATAATTCAACAGCCCTAAAAGGTGATCTAACGATGATCATTCTTTATTCTGAGACGGAGGTAGTATTTTATATTTAATTTCTGGGATAAACATAATGCCTTATACCATAGTATTCAAAATTGAGTCGGTGATGATCATTTTTGTTATAGAAATATAAAATCAGATGCTTTAGCGACCTGTTTCTTGGCGTGGCAATTGTTTACTTGCAGCCATGGCGGGTTGTGCTATTCTGATAAACAAAATGAATACTGAGCCTCATGTATTAAGAAGCAATGAGATCGAATATATTGTACTATCTCTGTCTCTAGGAAATTATTTTGGGATTAAGGCTTGGATGTTGTTGTTGTATCTCTGTCCCTAGGAAATCCTTAGATAGTTTCTTCAATTTCTTGATAAAGAGAATGTTGGTATAAAAGGAGGCAGTGTGGCTACCTAGAAAACTGAGATTATGTAGTTGATATTGAATTGATAAAATTAGAATAAAGTACGAATGATTTAATATGAGATAATCTCAATGGGACGGGCCAAAAGGTAAAGATGATACAATCATAGTGACGGAGGGAGTAATTATATTTGATGACAATGACATGTTACTATGACATTTCAGTCTTCACTGCTTTAACTTCAAACCATATCATATATTTTCAAACAAAATTAAGTCCTATGTTAAGTATCAAATATGAAACAAAGTTTTCACTTTTCAGTTTTTTATCAAAAATATTTTTTTGCATCTATGGTAACAATTCCATATCTGATGCACTACTAAACAATTTTTCTGTTGGCCCTGTATTTTTGAATGCCTACTGATATTAGATTGCATAAATGCAATACATTGGTTCTTTTCAAACGAAGGGAGTACATTAGTTATATTGAATGTCTGGGAAAACTGAATGCCTGAAACCATATTCTTCCCATTTGAGGCAGTGATGATCAATTTTTTTGGTGATAAAAAGAATCATGTCTTTCAGGCCACCTGTATCTTGGCATGGCATTTTTTTTTTGCAGCCATGGCAGGTTGTGCTTGTTGGTAATTTGATAGAAAAATTGTAATCTGAGCCTCATACACCAATACAGAGTGAAACCACGTGTTTTTATTTAATGTAAATTTACACTAAATAATATTTGTGGTTAAGATTTGTTTAGAAATGAAATTAGTAAAAAGAAAGTGTGAACATTAAAGAAGGCAGATGGAGTAATTATTGCATTTTAGTCTACCAAACTGCACTTTGGGGCTTCTATAGATTCTTTTAATATTCCCATGATTTAGAGGATCAAAACTGTTTATGTCCTGCAGGCTTTATTGGGACAATTCTTTATGTTTCTATGACACACTGATTCTTGCAGTGTCTTTGTGCATTGATCTTCTCCTAACTCCCTTCGAAGATTTCGGAGAAGGAAAAGAAGTATATGCTATGATGGTAATCTTAAGAAAAAGTTTGCTTAGGTATTGCTTGGATTGATTTGATGGGTCTAGGCGATAATGACACATGTCTATATGGCACAGCAATCCCGATTTTTGTGAAGGAAACTTCTCTATGCTTATTTATTATTCCATCATATATGTGTGCATTTTGTGTTGAATTTGTAGTAGAAACTGAAGCACAACTCTTAACTGTTTTTACAATTACTGCCTGAAGCATGCCATGATATCAATTCTTCTGGTATTTCATATTCTATGCTCCATCTTCACACAGGCTGTGCTGCATAATCTTTCACATAGAATAGCTAACAAGGGTGGTTGCTCCCCTTCCATATGTTGTTCATTAGTCCACGATTTCTCCAATTTACCTAGAATGACCAAAGCTTATAACTAAACTGATTAGTCAAGGATCGGAGATTCGGAATATATTTCTTATAGCCATGGCAGGTTGTGATTGTGTTGTGACTTTATACTAACATATATTCTGTGACTGTATTCTTGCTAATCCGTGAGAATAAGGTTGGTTCTTTCTCTTGAAAATTTTCTTATTAATTTACTCTAGGGAAATTGCCCTAAATAGGAGTAAATGAGGTTTGCAATTCCAAAATAGAATTACTATGTTTTTATTCCTAAAATAGAAGTTGTTACTGTCATGTATGAAAAATACTGTCATAATTAAAAAATATTGTCATTAGTTATAATAAATACTATCGTGTTAAATACACTTTACTGCAACTATTTGGCGGTCACGTCTACAAGATGACAGTGAATACTGTCATGTTAGTCCTATTTCGGGAATAAAAACATAGTAATCCTATTTTGGAATTCCAAACTTCATTTACTCCTATTTTGGGAAATTTCCCTTTACTATAAATAAGCTTCAATATCATTATCATACACCCTTTGTACCTTAAAACTTTGTCATCTTTCACTAATGGGATGTCCCAAAACTTTGTCACCTGCTCTTTTAATCAGCTAATTTGTGGTTCCTTCTATTTCTTTCATTTGAATAAACCTCAATCACACAATTTTATATTACCATTCTTCATGTCGGTCAAATTTGACAAAGTTATAAGGGATGTATAGAGTATATCTTAATACGGGTCCATGTGATATCTGTGAAGGGGAGGAAGTGCAGAGGGTTCAGCTTTGCCTGTTTGTGTTCCCTTTCTCGAATAGAGAGTTTACAACTGATTTATGCTCATGTTGCTTGATTAAAATCAATTAGTGAAAACTGATTTCAGTGGCAGTGAAGGTCTGAAGGAGAACGGGTTATCATATATACTCTTACAAATGGGCTTTTAGTTTTTGTGGAATTATTCAATGTATGTAAAAAAATAAATTATTTGGGGTTGAGTTTTTTTTTAAAATTACGTGTTGCATTTCCTTTGTATTAAATCTTATAAAATAGAACTACAACAATAAAGATTTGTTCAGGACAATGTGAATTGAATACTTATTTCACCTTAAATAATCAAATCAAATGATGTTTTATTTTTTGTTTTTTTAAACGAAAAATAAATTTTATTGAAGAAATGGAATGTAAAGTACATTCAGAAAAAAAGAGAGAATAAAATAAAACCAACCAACCCGAATTACAACTATAAAAGAGAACAAATTAAAAACCAACCAATCCAAATTCCAAATTACAACAATAAAACCCTCCCCATACATCCTTAATGCTTAATCGAGAATCTCCATTGATTGAGATCTGGTCTTCATTCGCATGTATAGTATTTATTTTACATCTTATGGAATGGAGAACGGCAAACACCTGCTAGGCTGCTATGTGTTTCCTTGCTTAATTAACAATAATTTTTATCACTTTTTAAAAAATTCAAAAGTTGTGAAATCGATTTTCATGTTTGGTGATGCAAAACTGATTCATTGCAAATTGCAAGCAGCAGGAAACATTCCCCTATATAACTCATTAACTCAATGACAATGTAAACCTTGTTCTTCGAAATGTTGTATTTTTCCTAGAGCTTATTTTCTCATGAATTTAATGATAGGGTATTACCATTAACAGCATCGCCATGTAAGAATGTAAGATAACATATGGAGTAGTTACCTTTATGAAAAAATAACGCATAACCATACAAATCTAGTGGCACTACTTCAAGATGAATACACAAAAGAACACACACATCAAATATCTCAATTCAAAATAATCAATAAAATCTTATTGATCAATAGAAACTATAAAGTATTAACGTGCTAAAAAGGCTAAATGACACAACCTATGTTCAGCGAATTGGGGGGCTTCTTGGCTAGTGGCGGATTTAGGTTTTTGACTTTGGGAGTTCAATTTTTTTTCTACGATCAAAACTTTGAAGTTTGAACAACAATAAATAAGTACACCTTTAAGTGTACTTATTTATACATATATACAAGTATGTTTTTCAAAATTTAAGTGTTCAGGAGAACACCTTTGATATATGATGGCTCCGCCACCGAGTCTTGGCACATATTGGGGCTATAGTCACCATATCCTAGGACTGGCTCAGAGCATTGGCATGCCACTCATGGCAGTTCGTAATCTGAGGGGCCACTTTGATGTATTAAGGAGGGTGTGAAATTATTGAGTGGCTACATAAATTACACACATGAAAAACACTCGATGGTCAGAGAATAGTGTGTGATGCTCTTACACTGTATTTCAAGATTGACAAAATCAAGACACTAGTTTTTCCTTGCATAACCTCCAAGTTATCTGGTGCTATTTGCAGATCATTCTTACTTCTTCAAAAGTAATGTCTTTTTTTTAATTTTTTTCCCGGTCTTCAAAAGTAATGTCATTAAGCTTTGTTGTTCATGAATGTAAACCGAAAAGCCACATGTTACACCTTTCTGTATTGAACATCTGGGAATAGCTTCAGCTGGGAATATGCACATCTGAACAACTGAACCTCCATCGTTTTGTATCATTTTGAACATCTGGGAATAGCTTCATTTTGTATCATATGAACAACTGAACATCTGGGAATAGTGGACCAAAATATAAGAAAAATGCTTGGTGTACACCTTTTGTGTACACCCGTCCGTCCCCAGCAGACGAGTTGTCTGTCCACGGACAACTCTGTAGCAAAGTTGATATAGTTCCATGTATGGTTCCTGTTATGCTTCCAATAGTTCTTTTCTTATTTGCGTTTTGTTTTCTGGTTCATAACTGCCCAAAACCATCCTGAAAACCGGACCAGAACAACCCAGGTAAACCGGACTGGCTCTTTGGAACCAGACAGGCAAGACCTCATTGGGCATATCCCATTTCCTTTTTTCTTTTAAATAATTAGTACTCCCTCCATCCCGTTGAAAAGTTCTCACTTTCCTTATTTGGGTGTCCAATTTAATGGTTCCCGTTCCATTTTAGGAAATAATTTACTCTCTTTAATTAGACTTTTAATCAAGTTTCTCTTTCCTACTCATTACATGTCAAGTCTCACAATTTCCCCTCCCCCAACTATTCTCCTTTAATTACTTTACTTTTTCTAAATTTTCTCTTTCCTCTCTTTTTACCCAAACCACTTGCCTAAAAAGTTGTGTCATTTACCCACGGAAACCTTCCAACGGGAAGGAAGGAGTATAAGACAAATAATTGAACAATGATAGCAATAGAGTTCAGATCAAGCTTTCCAACCACCTCTAACCCCCTTCAGCTTACCTTAGACCCGGGAAAGCTTTCAGCCCCACCTTTATCCATCAAGTGGAAGTACTTTAGTTATTTTCTGCCCCTAAAACTCCAAAGATACTCAGAGTTTGTTATCTGATTCCTTCTGCGTCATCACAGTCATCAAACTCTTGCTAAGCTTCTGGATGATTCTTCTTTCTTCAGACACAACTCTCCTTAGTCATTCTTCTTTGTTGGGCAGAACCATCCTAGTTCTGTGCCCTTGAGGCATTTATAGAAATCAAGTGGGTGTTAATGGAAGAACATAAATACACAAAAGTAATGCTTTTAGCTAGGCCAGTAACAGAGGTATCACCTATCCAATCTTCATTTAGAGCATTCGAAGATGTTCAATAGCAGATACGCAAGAAGATACGCTTCCTTTTTGCCAAGGGTCTGTTTGGATAGAGTTTGGAGGAGAAGATTTCAGATGGCTTGACCTATATCTGATAAATAGAATGTTTCTAAAATTGTATAAAATTTGATTAAAATGATATGTGATTGTATATTATGTTAAATCTTTCAGTTTTTATAAAAGTTCATATATGAATATCAAGATATAAATTAAGCCCATCCGAAACCCTGCATGCAAACAGACCCATAAATGGTTTCAAGAAAAATGAATCCGCAGTTCAGGTAGCTACCTTCTAGCCAGACACTCTCCGCTACCAGTAGTCACTGCAAGAACAAATGGCGTCCTGAAAATGATGGTAGCGGATTGGATCTCTGATGACAATGGTTCGATTCTCCAACTTAGTCAATAGCTTTGCAAATAAATGACAGTCCCCACAAATCCTGAGATTCTTTCTGATTCTGATTGTCTTTTCTTTCGGCAAGCTCATTAAGCCAAACGCGATAGCAAGCTTTTCACTGTGACAAAGAAGTGAATCCTCCATCTGTTCTCCTTCAAGATCTTGCAAGACAAAGTTGGTATCAGGAACATAACCTGCTTCTTTCAATCTCTGAATTATCTGATTAAGCTCTTCTTCAATGTTATTTATCTGTGGGTGTGACTTATCTCCCATAACGAAGGCGTGAATCTGCTTATTCACTTCAATCCAACTACACCCCGGTTCTTTCTTCACTCCTTTGCTCCTCATGTCCCTTCTCACCTTTGAAGCCTCTTCCCATTTTTGTGTCCGTGCATAGATATTGGAAAGCAGTATGTAGGTCCCCGCATCAGAAGGGTCTATGTTAATTATTTGTTTCACAGCATATTCAGCCAAATCCATGTTTCGATGTAACCTGCAAGCACCAAGCAATGTTCTCCATATCACAGTATCCGGTTCACATTCCATTTCATGAATTAACTCCACTGCTTCCTCTAGTTTACCAGCTCTTCCCAGAAGATCAACCATGCAACCATAGTGTTCTCTTCCTGGATCCACTCCGAAAAGCTTCTTCATTGAGCGGAAGTAATACTGCCCATCTTCTACCATTCCGGCATGGCTGCAAGCAAATAGAACCCCAAGGACGGTTACACGGTTTGGTACCATCCCCGTAGACCTCTTCATTTCCTGAAATAGATCAAGTGCTTTTTTGCTAAAACCATTTGAGGCTAACCCCATAATCATTGTGCTCCAAGAGATGACGTCCTTCTCCACCATCCTAGTAAAAGTACGGTTAGCATCATCCACGCTGCCACACTTACAATACATGTCAAGAAGTGCATTATGAAGTATCATGTCTTGGTGGAACTTGAAAACCTGAACGTGGAATTGCCTGCCGACCTCTAAAAGCGCCAAACTGGTACATGCTCTAAGACCGCTGGTTAGGGTTGACTGGTCAGCTGGAAAACCAGCTCGTTTCATTCTCATGTAGAGAGTCAAGGCTTCATACCCGTCACTGTTTTGAGCAAATCCTCCTATTATAGAGTTCCAAACCACCCGATCATGTGTTTTCATTTCATTGAAGACGATAAGTGCACTCTCTGGTTGGCCGATTTTGGCGTAGACGTCAATAAGAGCACTGCGTACAAAGACATCAGAGTCCAACCCCACCTTAACAATACTGCAATGGAGATGCGTCAAGTTAGAGATGGAATCGCAGGACCTGAGAACAGAGGAGTAAGTATACATATTGGGTTGGACTCCATTCCTTAGCATGAGGATCAACAGCTTGAAAGCCTGGGAATTGAGGTTGGAAGTAGAGTATGCGGATATGATTGTAGTCCAAGCAACGACATTTCTGTCTGGCATTTTGTCGAACAAAGCCTGTGCTTCACCCAACATGTTGAATTTCACATACATGTTCAGGAGTATGTTGAGCAAGAAGGTCTTGGGCTGATATCCGTTGGAAAAAACGTGTCTGTGAACGTGTTTGCCGTGTTCGACAGCATGTTGGGCGACACAACATTTTATAAGCTCGGAGTAAATGATAGCATTGGCCCATATCTTGTGTTTCTCCATCTCATAAAGGGCATTCATAGCTCTAGGGAGATCCCTCTGGTTGCAGTATGCAGCAAGCTTCCCAATCAATGCATCGGATAACGCATTTGATTCTTCAGTTGTATCAACCGTACGCCTGCCGGGCATTTTTGCAAAAGAAACGGAATGGAAGCTTTGAAAGAAAGAACCTACTTCTGTGATTGAAGAAAGCAGATGTCTGAATGGCCCGACCTCTGTAAGCTTTAAGGTTGGGAAACTGCATTTAAATCTTGACATCAATATAATCACATTTACATCAAATATCTATCTACAAATCGGAAAAGATTCATCTTTTATGAAGTGCCAGATACTATTTGCAGAGGAACTAAGACGACGAAAAAAAAATTGAAATGCAATGCAATACAAAGCTTGTGCTTCATCCAACATGTTGAAATTCCCAAAAAGCGCGTAGGGAATTGAAGAATCTAGTAAAAATTGACAATAATATTATTACATTTTACTAATCTACTTAAAATTATTTCACTCGTCGTGCGTTGCACGGGATGTAATACTTAGATGTTATAAATGTTGTATAAATGAACCGTTATGATACTTCAAACCTTTAGGCGTGAAAATGAAACATATGTCCTTTTAACCTTTATAAAGTAAGTCTAGCCACTTTTAAAAAATTACATAAATCATGTTATTATCATTAATAATTAATTAGTGTATAAACATCTTAAACCACGTTCTTGACTTGTTTATTAACCTTGTATATGCACAGCTTCCTGTTCACTAAGTTCTCAATTCTATTCTAGGGTAATAGGAAATTGAACAATCAATGAATAATTCAAAATCCTAAATAAAAATATATCAATAGTTCTGCACATCATATATTAAAACATTAGAATATATGCTCTTGGTCCAAGTCTTGGACCCTTAACTCATTAGAAACTTTCAGGTTGAGTTCTAAATTGTTCAATAGGCTTAACCTGAGTACTAAACTCCACAGTGACCGTAGCTAATTTGTAGCATACTTAATTTTGAAACATAAAATCTAAGTAGCATGGAGCAGTAAAACGGGAAATGCAAAACGCAACAGATTATATTTCTAAAAAGTATAGGATAGGAAATATGGGTAGATGTTTAAATATAAAACATATGAAGATATATTTATTAATACGTATCTTTTGAAAATCTATACATTTTTTATTACATACAAAGTATACACTTTTTATATAAATATGTCGATCAATTGCCCTATAAAACCTCTACGACCCTTTGAGATACCATCTGCTTGTAGTTCGTGACATCCTTCACTGCCAGTGACCCTCTTATACTTTCGAGAAGCAAACATAAGCTTTCCATCATCATCATCAGCCAAAGTTGTCACAGTGCCACATTCCCACATACACAAGAATAATACACTACAAAAAAATTACGGGATTGACACGGAATTTGGCACAGACTTACCGAAATCTTCATGCCAAAGTGTTTTTGGCACGGATTTGGCATTTCCCTGCCAAAATCCATGCCAAATCCCCGCCAAAATCTCTGCCAATCCCGTGGTTTTTTTGTAGTGATAAATACTTCAAAATTAATGAAACGGTACTCTCGACAATTAATAATAGGAAAATTTTACGATGCACTCACGTTTCAGGCTGTTTAGGTGCATTTCACAGGTGTCTTCATTTTATTCGTTGTTTATTCCAACTCATATACTTCCATCATAAAAAACGAATGTCCTGAATTGCATTTTAAGTCCTCGCCTAACCCCTGATTTCTCGTTTTTGTTTTGCGATATCGAAGAAACCAATCGAAATGAAACTATGAAATTATGAAAGGATCTTCCATCCTCCTGTGTTTCAGATCGAAAGAATAAAAGCCAGAGAAATGAAAGGATATTATTCCATCCTCGTTTTCTGATGATCCAAACAAAGAATTCGGAGCCAGATATACAAGAGGTTCTTCCATCTTCCACCATGTTTTCCGTGACATTTTTTACTAAGGTATTCTATACCCAAGAGCGCAGAACAACTTCATGGCTCAATCCACTCCGCAATGGTCGTAAGTTCCATCGTCTCTAACTGATTCACTTGATATTGTGCACAGATTATGATCTTAAGTTGTTCTTCCCTAATTTGAATTTTGGATTGCAAATTTATGTTCTTTCTGTGTAGTTCCAGCTTTAACACCTTAGACATTTGAACATACAAAAATAGAAAAAGGATGTCTTAGTTTACCAGCTTTCAAAATCTCAAAACATATTATGAGCTGAAATTGAGTAAAGTTTCAATTCCAATAGGAGAAAATAAAGGTAAGATCAGGTCATTGAACATAAATGGATGTCAAGTCAAAGAAAGAATGTCACTAAGTAAATATGGTTAAGGAGGGGAATCTAGGAGTACTTCCCTAGAGAATTAGAAAAGCTCCCATCTTTCATTTCATTTGTGCTAGCACAATTCTGTTTTTACAAAATAATAGCCATGTTCAGTTATAGTATCAATTTGAATCCTTATAAAATATGTTGTAAGGATTTAGTTTGAATTTTTTATGACTTCAACCTACTAATTTTCAGAAAGTCAGAGCATCTCATGGCCTAAAAGTTCTGATTACGTCATGGAGTCAACTGCAGTCTTCACCAACAAGGGCTAGGGCGCTAGGCTTCTACTGACTTGAGGTTCAATATTCATCTATTTTTCTGGAGTATATGTTTTGTACTAATGTAATTGTTCATCATTCTGTGACTCATACATCTTGTTGATGATCACCTCTCTAACTGCTCAAACTGGTAGTACAATATGTTTATCAGAAAATAATGACATTATGGACCGTCACATCTAAAGTTACACAATAACTATAAGGCTTAAGCACACTAAATAACATTCATTAGTATATTTCTAATGATCAGTAATTCATCTTTTTAAGCAATACAAATAAAAACTTTGGGGGGTCGCCCTGCAAACGAGGGTGAAAACTTCATATCCCTGCCGGTAGTAATCCTCTATCATTGTAAACCTACTAGTTAAGCTTTATAAACCCATACAATGCTTTTTTTTATTTACAGCTTCAGATAGTAACACTAGGTGACTTTCATAATCTCTAATTTGTTCAGTATGTGTTTGATAATTTATTCCACCTCACCTTTCTCCTAAAAATATATTTAAAATTGCACAGTAAGTCCTTTCCGGACAACATTTTTTGTGATTTTGCCTACTAGGGAAATATCCATTCCCGTTTTCTTATTTTGCTTGGGCAACAACGATGACAGAAACGAAAGCTCCTCTACATTTTGCTGAAACGAAAATCAACCAGTGCGAGAGAAATGAAAGGCTTCCATCCCCTGTATTCTCATCCAATGAGGTTGTAGAGCTGGCTCAATCACCTTCACAATAACTCTAGGTAAGTTTTATCATCTCTGATTTGTTCACTACACACTCTTCACTAATTTGTTATACCTGGTTTAGATTTTTGGATTGTGAGCTGATTTCATGTCAATTTAAATGAACTAAATATTTAATTTTTAAATATCTATATAATTAGATTGGACTATTCACCTTTGTACTCTAGGAGTTATTTGCTTGGATAGTCAGAACGTCTTCTTCATCTACTGCTGTCAAGATCATTAAACACATAAAACATGACATGTTCACTTGGACTTATGTTCTTAAGCATTCTAATGCTAAATTTAGCCTTAATGTTCATGCTTCTAATCCGGTAGGGGTTCCAATTTGAGGTACTCCCATGGTCCCTGTGTTTTGCGTTCACTATTCTATAGCTGGCACAACATTCTCTAGAATGGACCATCTATAGTAGCAGCCAGCAGGATATACTACCTTCCGGGTTGACACAGATTCCCTCCAAGCGTTACTCCGTCTTACTAAGCCTCATAAATCTCTCGGGAAGAAAAGGAAAGACAAACACTGAGGGAGCCGATAGGAGTGATGATAGGATGTGAAACAAAAGGGAGATGTTGTTCAGTCTAACATGTTTTTATTATTGAATCTTTTAGTGGCATGTAAGCTTAGATGCGGTTATTCTTTGGTGGTATGTTGAATCATTGATGAAAAATATTAATTTGTGAACTATCAGTTTCTTCTATGCCTTTTGGTGTTCATATTCTCGAAATTTGGCAAGTTTTTATACATGTGGATCTTCAAAGTTGAAATAATCTCCTCTATGAAGGCATGATTGCATTTCTAAGTACTCTTGGGGTGTCATGGTTCTATTGCTGATGTGGACAACTTGGGATTAAGGGGTGCACTTCTTAGAACTTTTATCATTGCTTGGTTTGGCATTTACTCATCAGTTTGTGAATTGTGATCTCTCTATTGTTGGATGCTAAAATTCCTCGATGATGCTCAATAAATTGTCAAATTCTAGACTTTCTGGAATAGTTACAAGTTTTCATTTTTGAAATGATATTCCCTTTCAGCTTCCTTTTGTTCATCTTGTTCACCCGCGTACTTGGAACAAATTCTGTGCTGCAGATATGGTGTCGACGGAACTTCATCCCTGACCATCACAAAAAACGAAAAGCATGGTCAACAAGATTTATGGAATTGAACACCACAAAGAACCTTTTAACTTCATTTTTTGTTTGATTTTAGGCACATTTCAGCCTAAATATAGATTATGTTTGATTTTAGGTGTTGAAATTTCAGTACTTGGCTGAGTAACTATGTGTTTACCAAGTTAAACTATCATTAGAATAAAAAAAGCTAATGATTTTTTCTGTTAAAAAAAGAGGAGTTGTTCTTATGTTGATGAAAAATCTTCAAGCTATGTGGGTTGAAATACCTTACAGTTTTTAATGTTGAAAAGAATTAAATAATTTTAAACCAATTACTTGACACAACGAGTTGCATGCCACAAACCAACTTTCATATGCTCTATGTGAATAACGTGGACTGAAAATGAATAGAATATGCAGGAAAAGTGAAATGGAATGCAGAAAATATCTGCAACAATAACCTGCTGACTTTTCTAGAAAATATCCGCAACAATAACCTGCTACATAGTGAATGAGAAAATGCTATGAAAAGCAGACCAAATATGCAGCTGTAATATCCTGATTTTTGCATATAAATATGGTCTATTAATCTATTGTGCAAAAAACGTTGTCCAATAGGCACATACGGCCTGCCAATCAAATGGAGAAAAAATATAACTATTGCACCAAAAAATTGCTATGAAAACCACACACACAAAAACTACAGAAATATATGCCAACAATGCAAAAAAGAAGCCCAAATATGAAGACATCATGTACAATGGATGTAGGTATAGTATGCCAAAAAATGGAACAAAAAGCTAATACATGTAGGAATTAAATATCTATGAAATGCAGAAAAATCTACAGAATTGAAATGCTAAAGATGACAATAAAAGCCCAACTTTGAAAGAAACAATCTGTAACAAATATCTAATTAGTGATTCTAATTATAGTTTAATTTCGTAAACACATAGCTACTCAGCCAAGGACTGAAATTTCAACACCTAAAATCAAACAGAAGCTACATGTAGGCTAAAATGTGCCTAAAATCAAACAAAAATTGAGGTTCAAAGGTACTTTTGTCAGTTTGTGGTGTTCAAATCCATA